CAGTAGAAAAGACGTGCCATTTCTATTATGAATATATTATTACAGTTTGATTTAGACTATTAAAGTGACAATATGAATTAAATATTATGAATAATATTTATGAATTAACATTTATTATATTACACTGGCACTAATTTAAAATATATTTTCCAGAAGTCAATTATAATAAAAAAAAATTATCCAGCAATTTTTTGTTTTGCGTACCATTTGGCACCCCTTTGTGAGTAGCGCCCGGGGCATGATGCCCCCCCTTGCCCACCCCTCGCTACGCCACTGAGAGTTACTATTATTTCAGCACATTGACTAGTTTACACTAGCTTTCCATAAGTAAAGAAAAGGTTCTAAGTTTTTTATACTCCTTTTCTTCTTGTTTTATATTTATTTATGTTTAGAAAATCAAAACTAATGCAAAATTCTTCTACCTTTTTTTAATTCTTCATAATTTAATTTTTTTTTAATTTAAATTTTCATTTCAAATCATTTAATTTCTTGTATTATTATTTTGTTTGTTTATATTCCTAATCAGTATAGAGGAAGAAATTGAATTCTTTCTTTTTATTTTTAATTTGTTTGACCATTCACATAAATTATTTTCTTCTTTGTTTTAGGGATGGACTATTTTCGTGGTGATAACTGGAGAGTCCATCCTGATTGGTAAGTATCTACATTCAAACAAAAATTAACATGCTAATACTACTGATTTTTTATTATAATTACATTCTCTCTGTTTATTAAGTCATTGTGAATAAACTTTCCAAAAGCATGAATTCCTTAAAATTTTTAGAAACATGAGATTCATGCATTTTTAATGAATGCATTAGCTTTGCCTATGAATCTTTTTAAGGGTACAAAAATATTTTTAATTTTAGTCATATACTATATCATTGTTTATAAATGTGTGCATTTTGAAGAAAAATTCAATTGATACTTAGATGTTCTTCATTTCTTTGAAAATTGCAATAGACTGAGCTCTAACTATTGCCTTTTTATTGGTGTTTTATTGAACAATTTTCATTTTTAATTATGTTTTAATTCAATAATTTTAACCAATCAATTCTTCGGCTAAATTGTTTTTGTTAAATTTAAAAAACTAAAGGGATGATAGGTAGCTAATGCACAGCTCTATACTTTGCAAAAGTTTTTATTAATTAACAAGGGGTTTGCAAGCCCTGCTCACCATTGCTCTTCAACCCATGCAGGGTCTGCACTAAGTATTTGCCACCTCGCCAAATGTGATAAAATCATGAATTTGGTGAATTATATTGTGTTTCGGCAAATTATTTTTTCCACTGGAAAGAAAAATGTATATTTAACTTGATCCTCAAAATTGCATCAAAATGAGTTTTTCTAAACTAATCAATATTTTTATTCGATTGGGTAATTTTCGGGGATGTACAACATAACCAATTAGAATTGGGTCCAAATAATATAGCTTAAAACTAATTACTGTAAAATAGTTTTCTATGAGGAAAAAAAATTAATCATAAAAAATTTTTAAGATTTGCATTTGGCAAGGACTTTTAAAAATTGGTGAATACTTTAGATATTTGGCAAATTTACTGCCTAATAATTTGAAATCTTTAGTGCAGGCCCTGCCATGGAATAATTTTCTCTGTTAATTCTTTTGAATCATGTCACAAACTGAACTTGTTTAGCTTACTGACTAGATAATGAAGCATAATAGTATATTATTCTTATTCATGCAGTATTTCAAAGACCGCACTCTGGTTGCAAATGTTTGCTTGAAAAAAGTTATTTCCTTCCTAATTATCAAATAGTAGTAAAAAACTGTCTTCCAATTTATCAAGTAGTAGTAAAAAGCTGTTGTATTTTTTTTTAATAGCTGAAATTATTTACTAATAGTTATTATAAATATTATAGTTATTATGATCAGTTACAAATAATATCATACTGATGTCCGTCACTTAAAACTAACACTTATTGGACATCAGATATTAAAATTCATCTCAACATGATACATTTGTGTTTGTATATTTTAAAATTAACAATTCGGCAATTGCAACTTATGCTGACTAGCCTTTATTTATTTATTTTGGGAATGACACACTTTAAATTTTAAAAAATTCTGTATTTCCACTTAGCAAAGGCATAAAACTTTTCTTTCATGTGTGTTTAATTTTGTTTAAAGTAAATTAAAATATAAGCTTGAAAATGAATATTGCAAGTGACAGGAAATGTTTTACGTTTACTTTTGTCTTGCTTGCATATTTTAATCATTTGTATCTTATTGGTTTCTGGACTGAATGAAAAGGCTCATAATTCCACACATTTAGACTTGAAATATTTATTCAAAAATTGTCATTTGTGTTGCAAAAAATAGTGGCAAAAACTGAATTATTCTATAACTTTCGGTCCTGATCATCGAACTTGATTAAGTCATTGCTGTTTAACTTAGTGCTTACGATCACGAATTATTCATGTTTTGCTTTTTTGCTGCAATTGAGGTCTTGTTGTTGCCAACAGATAGAAACGAATCCAGCCCTTTTTCTAGGGTTATGTGAGCCTTTTATGCATACAGAGTATTCATTTATCGATGTATATTTATTGCAATTCTGTATTTTTTTACACTTAATTTTCTACTGTTTACCATTATTTCATTATGTAATAAATTTTTGTTAATTTCTGCTTATATTAGGGTATATTGTGAAAACCCCCAAAAAGAGGATGATGGTTATACATCTGCTGAAGACAGTATTAGAACGTTTTTAACTGACTCTCTTGCTAATCAAAATTTTAGATGGAGAACAAGCAGCACCCGTCCCCCAATATTTGACAAACCAATATGTGAGTGTATAAATTTTTAAATATTTATTTGATTTCACAGGTATTAAATAATTATTTGTTTTAATAAAACAATTTGTTTTCACTGAAAGCTTTTTTAAATTTTTAGTTTCTTTGCAATTAGATCTTTATCAATAGAACAATTGATACAATCGATTTATTTGAGCAAAAAGCATTTAGTTACATAATACAGTTTAACAGTCGTAAAATTTCTCTTTTCGAACCTATTCTAAAACCATGAAAAGTAATGTCCACTTTCAAGTAAGAAAACTGTAGTATTTGGGGAAACATTTGTTTTCTAATTTGCATAATAGCTCATAACAAGACAAAAAAACAAAATCAGGAACATACTAATGTCTTGAGTACAGACATTTATATAATTTAAATAATCACCTCAAGAAAATTAAGACATAATTAATTCAACTAGGTAACTGGTTCTTAAACTGGTTAAATTTAAAAAGTGCTGGCTTAGTAAATACTTTTAGTTATTTGTAGAATCGATAAAAATCAAAGTTTTGCAACAACAAAAAAATGTCTGGCTTATTCCATTCTTGGATCAAGTTTTTGCATTGATACAGATTTTGCATTTAAATCGCTGTATGCAAAAAGGGCTTCGGTCTTGAAAAACTGTTTTCTGTCAGGGTAAATAGTCAATCATTATAATGTCTCTTCTTTTGTAACAATTGTTTGAAGCAGATGGGAAAAAAGGGACATGACTCTTCTTATTTTCTTTTAACACAGTTAGTCTCATTTTAAAATGCCTAACAAGTTTATCATCTTGTTTCCTCATGTGTTGTTGTTTCCACATGTGTTGAAATAAATGGTGGTTTTAAATAGCTATTGCTAAAACTCTTTTGAAAATTACACAAAATGATGTGGGTTTCAACTCTTCTCCATTACATTAAAAAACAATTTGCTTAAAGTTCCCACATATTTTAACTCTTTACTTTTTTTCTCATTACGTTCACCGATTTTTTATTAATCTAATGCAGCATTCAAGCAAAGGTAATATTATAAGGAAACACTTCAGATTTTACCCTTGTTGTTTTTGGAATTGTGTGCAGAAGTTGAGCAATGATCAACTGATCTAGTATGTTCTCTGACTTAACTAATTTACCTATTTTAAAGATACTAGCTAGGCTAAAATTTTTGTTCGCCATTATTTTACAGTCATCAAAAACCTGAACAATTTTTAAAATTTTAACAAATGTAGTATGAAGAACTTAATTAAAACATGGTTATTACAATAATAATAAATCAAAATAAGGTTGTCATACGGTTTCGATGTTTCAAAAAAAATGCTTTGCTTAGTAAAAAATGAGTAACTGTGCATTTTTTATTCTGAGGAAAAACAATTGCATAATTTCAAAACACAGGCAAAAACTAGGTGCCTCTGGATTGAGGAACGATAATCTATATAGTTTAATTATATGGCTATATTAGATTAGAGTATGTAGTTTAATTTTCGATTCTTCAAATTCAACAATTTAGAAGGTACTTACTCACCAAATATATGATTGCTGATATCGAGCTGGGGAACGAAAATTTTGTGCCCTGCTTTATACCCTTAATATCATTTTAGTATTATAGTGATAAAAAGGTATTGACACAAGAATTTCACTAAACGAAGCTACTGTAAGAACCCACTAACAAAATACTAAATTGTACAATATTTACTAACTGTTAATGCAACTCTAACTGCTATTTTGACATCATAAAAACTCCTGCTGGCACAAGATTTGTCTGTTTAGTAGCTCTTGTTGTCTTTTTATTGTTTAATATATAGTTCTGTGGTTAATTCATTTTAAATAGAAATGTTGGGTTAGTTGTTTTCTTTGACCACTGGTCAACAAGCAAGAAAGTGTAAATTATAGTTTTAGAATTATTTATACATGTATATAATTTCATTATTTTATTTTAATGACTTAAAAAATAGGTTACTACAATCAGTTTTGAAAACCTTTTGCATGGGCACCCTCTCGAAATCCAATTAATTAAAAAAACTATATTTTGCCTAATTGTATTTTATTAATTTTAAATGTTAGAAAATTGATTGGGCTTTTTAGAAAATTAAAAACAGTTCTTGTTATATTAAAACTATTCTGGTTTATAAACCCACTACAAATGTTGCATTTTTAAATTTATATCTTTAAAATTAACTATTATACCTGCATTGATAGTTAAAACGATGGATGGATGGATATATTTTTTTCTAATTGGAAGATATAGCAAAAACAATTATTTAATATTAAATTTAAAATTATAGAGCACTAGAACTCTGTTTATTCCTTTTGAGCTCATACTGTATTTTAATTAAAAAATTTAAATAAAGTTTGTTATTTATTATCTGTTTTAAATTTTTTATAGTAATTAAATTGTAAATTTTTGCTTTGTAGCTTCAATTAAGTTATTGAAATTGTAAAAATTTCTGCTCTACAATGCATGTAAATATATTTTGCAATGAAAAACGGTTTTTGAATTATTTAAAAGAACATTTTACTAGTTGCACCCCTTGGGAATAATTTCTGTTGGTGCCCTTAACTCCTAGGTGACTTTCATTAACTACTGATTGGAAGCAAGCGTATTGCATTTATAAATATTACTTTTAACTATCTTCAAATTTATCTATATTCTTATGACATTGCCAATAAAACAAACCTACTGCTTTTATTCTTTGTTTTGGAACTGAAAACTGTTCCTGTTTTGGTTAGCCTATAAAAAGTTTAATTGAAATCATTAAATGTTTCTTCGTTTTAGGTGAAAAAGATTTAATACAAAGTCTGGTGTTTGATGCTAAAGCAACTTCTGTAGAATGTGAAAAAATAACTTCAATGGATGAGTAAGCAATAATTTTTTCATATTATTGTTAAATCATAAGAATGAAACATCCAGTTTTGTTATATTATATTCTTCATAAAGAAACAATTATAATAATTCATAAAGAATTTAACAAAAACATTATTCTTTTATCAACTTCTTTCAACATTTTTAATTTCTGCTTGAAGCATATGATGTTACATTGGTTACAAGCAGCCATTTTCGCTAAATAACATGCCTCCAAAGAAATTTTCTGTGTTTCAATTCCAAAATAAGCCACTTAATCACATCACAGAAGAGTAAATGCCACCTTCAAATGAGAAAAATAAGATTCATTAATTAATTGAACTGTTTGTAAAGAAATTTATAATATTTATGAATGCATTCAGGTGTGACTCCGATTTCCACATAAGAGCACAATATACACTTCAAAATCTCTGTAATGCAAAGTAATCAATATTTCTCCATCTTTTTTACCATAAAGTAGGCCTGACCACTTATGGTAAGAATAAAGTGTCCTTTTCTTTATTCATAGAGATTTATTGACATAAAACTATGATAATATAACATCAAACTAAATATTGGCTGGAATTATTTCCTGGAGAGAATGTTTACTTCAAAAGCACATAATAATATTTAACCCCTGTTTTTGTAGTAATTTACTTAGAATTAAGCAAAAAGATAAAATTTCAGGTGCTATATTGAAATGAACAGTTCAGTTCGGGCTCTCTGATGGACATTGCAATAACATTACGTCTATAGAATAACTTGTGATACTTCATATATCGGTCGATAAAATGGAAGGGTCGTAGTAATGGAGAGAGTTGTGCTAAAGAGCGTAAACTATATTTATTTCTACTACTCAGCAAAACTAAGAGTTTCTGCAAGAAAATTGAATGCTAGTTCTAAGTACTAACTTATTTTTACGAAATTTTAAGCAAACTTCTTGTCCTGGTATTATTTTAAGTTGATAAGCTTCTTGATTTGGATTATTTTATGTCATCAAATTTTTTGATTTCTGTTACTTCATGTAATTTTTCATTTTTCTCTTTTACTAGCTGTTCAGAATTCTGTATAAAATAATTTTTAAAAATTTTATTATTCTCTTATCAATAAGCTCTTTAAAAAAATTTAAAAAGCTTAAATCTGTACAATACTTTTTTTAGTATGTTTATCAAATCTGTAGTCAGTAAATCTGATTCTGCAACATATGGCCCAGATTTGATTCTTGACCTGTGTATCAGGTTACTGTTCACTCAGCATTTGTTCCTTCTGAAGACAATAAATAAGTAACAAATCTTCTTGGAAATACTTAACCATTCAGCTGGTTGTCACTGGCTTTTGGCTCTCCACCACAAAAGTTACACACCCAGGTCATACCAAAACATTTGTACTAGAATCAACTGCTGAGTTCTCTTGGTTTGATCGAAATTTGTATTATCTATTTCTTCTTGTTTGCTAAGATCACATTTTTCGTTTAATTATTAACAATAAACCCAATTGAAGAATTTCTGTCCTTTCCTATAAAATGAACTGATTTTTTCAATTGTTTCTTAATACATTGCATTGTTTCTCATTGCAAACCTTGTCTTATTCCTATCAAATGCTTCACAGTTGTAGAAATAATGCCGATATATAAGGGAAATAATTTGTAAGCATGTGTATTATAAGAGTATGAGTATAACTTTACAAGTGCTATTAAATTTAATTTTCAATTCATCTTTAGATATCTTTTTTGTATAGTTAATGATGTTGTTAATATTTCTTTTCAGCAAGTTAAATTTTAACTTTAAATTATGTTTCCTTTTAAATATTTTCATTGTGTATTTTTAAATTACCTTTCAAACAAAGGAAAAAGATAAAGTATTATGAAACACATTTATTTTAACTTATGTGTCTACATCTATGAAGAAACAAATTTGATATCGACATTTTTAATTACAGGATGAGCTAAAATAGCATAAATAATTCTCAACAGTGAAAGTAGTCTGCAGTCACTACAGTTTTAACAAATAAAAAGCATTCATATATGTTTTAGCCCTAAAATAAAGAGTATTTGATAAATATATAATTTACCAACTTTTATTTTAGAAACTTTCCTAACTTAGATGGAACAGAGGTTGATTTTATGGTTGTGTCTAAATAAACTTAAATAAAATTTTCTAAAATATCCATACAAATTTTTAAAAATAAATTTTTTGGAGAAAAATCTTATTTCAACTGGCGCATTTATATGCATGTGTTCTTCTACTTTTTAATTTAAACTTTCATTTTAACCCTTAAATTTCTTGATAGCTAATAATGTAAGTTTTCTTTTAACTGTAAAAATTTAGTTTATGAAAAACTTACAATAGTTCATTAATTTTAAAACATTAAATTAATATATAAAGAAAATTATATGTTTGCTTTTTTTGTTGAATCTTTATATCTGTTAGACTTTGAATTAACAAGGTGTGAAGTTATTTACTGTCACAGACCTCTGTAATTAATTATATACCTTAATTTTTTTAACTAACTTTTATTTTATCATTTAATGCTTAAGCCCGCTAGTTCTTCTGATGTCATTAATGCCCAGGTAATGTTTGTAGATGAGTAATTAATCTAAATGATAAGTTTTTTTAATTGTTAATAGCAATATTCATGATTTAAATCAATTGTGACTTCTTTAATCAATGGTTTAAATCAGTTGTGATTTCTTTAGCTTTAAAAAATAAAAAAAACTACTTTAACATGTTTTTTTTTTTAATTGTATGATACGACAAAATTATTTGGTGTAAGCTAAATCTGTTATCATTTTTAATTCTTTCATTTTGGCGAATAAAATATAAAAATCTGATATCCAACACTACAATATCTTATATTAAACAGTTTTTATTTGTTTTTATCTATTATCATTTTTTAAAAATTAAGTGACAAGTTTAAAATTTCGTCAATTTTTCTTCTTTGTAATTTTTATTGAAAAAATAAATTTTATTATTTCTTGCATATTTTGAATTTTTGAATCATGAACTAATCGTGAAACTTTTTCATTTATTTTTGTTTTTAAATTGCATATTAAAAATCACTTTTGTTTATTAAGATATGTAATCAATACATTATGTATCAATTTGTTATTCACGTAACATTTCATTTAAAATTACAGAAGTAATTATTTGTGATGAAACGTTAAATATCAATAAAAATCACAGATTAAAATTTAAAATCACAAGTGGTAAAAACAGAAAAACAAACATTTTAAGAACCTATGTGTGACTCGGTAAAAACAGAAATGATTAAAATCCACCTTCATCAGTAGATGGATTTTAATCATTTCTGTTATTACAATTCCTGGATTTTATCTCACTAGTGAAGCTGCATTGTTGGGACACCAAAACACATATAGGTATATAATCAAATTTTTACCATTTGTGATTTTAAATGTTTTTATTGAAATTTGCATTTCATTATTGATGTGTGTTTATTAGTCTCCTTATTTATATTCAGTAAATGTTTCCATCACTGAGAATCATACTCTATGTTTAAAATTATTTTATGTAATGTATGTAATTAGTAAAGGTCTCAACTATGCATCTAATGGAATAACACATGTGTTAACTTATCTCCATTTCTTCTAAATGATCATTGGTGAAATTACTTTCTTTCTCTGTAAATGAGTTTATAAGTCACTGTATTAACATTTGTTTGCTTTAAAATGTAGTTATAAAACTATTTTTTCTTAAGAACAAAGTTTGTATGCTAAGACGACACACACTATATGAGCGTAAGAAAAATTCCACCAGTCCCTTTACCTTATGAAAATTTGCTAGTTCCAATAGCTTAACTTAATTAGCATATGTGAATCTGACAAAACACAAAAAATTATTACAATAGGGACAATTTCGTAGAATTAGTATAAAATTGTGATGCCCGGTGGCTGAGTTGGAGCACTTCGCTCCCGTGCCACAGGTCCTGGGTTCGATCCTCGGGGTCGGGCAAAGTTAACTCATCCCTTTAGTAGGTCGATAAATGAGTACCAAGCATGCTTAGGAACTAAACACTGGAGGTTTCGCGTTCGGCTGACCACCTAACCGGAATGTCTGCTCCTGCACCCCAGAGCCTAAAGTCGAGAAAACTGAGATTGGCACAGTAGGCCTTGGGCCTCTATGGGCTATTGCTCCACTGAGTTTAGTTTAGTATAAAATTGCATTGGTATGCATTAGTAATTCATTGAAGAAGCAACCTTGTAATTTTGCAATCTGTAATAATCATCTTTAAATTTCTACCTGCTTTTGTGTAAGTGTTTTCTCCCACAATATTTATATTCTGCCACAATTTTCTAATGAGTTGCCTGGTTGTAAAACCTGCTATTTAAAGGTGACAACAAACCATAATAAAAAGTTTGTTGACAATTAATAAACTAATAAAAATGGAATTAAAGAATCTGTTAAAAAAATTTAGTATGCAATAAAAATTTAGTTTGTGATGATAGATTTGATTTTTTTTTCTTTTTAAAATGTGCATTTAGCAGGTTTTACATCTGAACTACTCAAATATATTTTCATGTAGATAGCCATGGAGAAAAGGTAAGAGAAATGTGTGTTAATAATGCTATTTTCCTTATCATTTTGTATTTTTGAAGCTCATCATACTGGATTGTAAGTATGTTCTGTATTTTTATAATGATATTTAGCTTCAATGTTATACTTAAGAGGTGTCACAACATTCTATCATTGAATTAAAAAAAATTTATTTTTTATTTCAAATTTATGTATTTTTTAGCATTAATGTTAATCAGTATATTCATAATTTATGTAATTTACTATTCAAAATTGCAATGTGTTTTGCAGCAATAAATTTTTAAATGTAGCTAATGTGTTTTACTTCACCCAGGGTATTGTACATGTTCCTATTCGGTTTTATATGTAAGAGTCAGTTACATTTCTGGATCATAATTTATAAATTTTATACATAATTTTTGTTTTAATTATATTCTTTCTTTGCTGCAAAAAGTTTTAACCTATTAACATCAAAAACTTAAAATTTTAAATCCTTAAATAATGTTTAATTATAAAGAATGGATAAATTTTATTAATTACTACAAATTTTATTCAGAAAAAATGCTATACTACATAGTTCTGCTCTTAGACAATATGGAAATATCTTCTTTTTTTATTAAGCATTTTGTTCATGATTCACTTGAAAATTCCTAAACATATTAAATTTTCAGTTAATATTTCAATGAGCTACTCAATTTACAGCTGATAAGCTAAAGAATCTGAAGCTTTATAACGGTATTTTAACTAGTGTTTATTATTATTGTGGAGTCAAAATGCTAAATTGGTCACTTTTGTGCAACAAAAAATTGCAAAATATTTTGATCTTCGTCTCTCTATGTTTTCAAATGTATGAGCATTAAACTTAGTATGTGTGGAATTATTTTTGCACTAAATTTTGATATCTATGTGCTTTAAATTTATTGTTAAAAAAATGCTGTCTATTTAGCTCTTGGCATTTTTTTCATTATTATTATCCTAAGACAAGTTCTAAAAAATATAAGTTCTGCTAATTTTTGAAAGCTAGTTAAAATTCCTATCAATGATCTAGAATAAATAACGTAAAAATATCTGATTATGGTTTATTTTTTCACAGTTAATGTTAGACTGTCATTATTTTTATTCTGTCACTATTTTTCAGATTTTTCGAGCAGAATCATGAATAGAATTCTCGAAAAGAAAGTAAATAACAATTTACACCTTTAACAGGATTAATCGCATTCTGTTTCATGTATTTATTTTGAAACTAAATTAATCACAAGCATTAATTTGAGGACAATAAATTACAGTTTTGTTCTTTCTTATTACAGTCAAAAAACTGATTATTTTATAAGGCCCATTTTAACATTTAGGGAGGTATTTTCTCTATTTTTAGAAATTGAGTCTTATGTTATTTTAGAATATGTTTTTTTTTCCTATTTTATTTAACTTGCAAGTCTAAACACATTGGTTTACATAGTGAAATCAAGTAATGAAATAATTCAGACTATATGGAAATTGCCCAGTACACTATCGATTGTTTAAAATTATGAAGGGCATTTTGGCTTGTAATTGCTGAAAAATATATTGACATTTAAAAGTATTTGAATCATTTTTCAAAGTTATCAACAGCAGGTGCAACCTTCAGGGAAAAGGGGAGTGTCAGCCAAACTGAATAACTAATTAGTCTATTGTCTCGTTTTCTAGAAGATAAGAAAAGTGGGAGGGTCAGAGGAATATTTTAAGGATTGCTAAAACATTTCATAGTTATATGTAAGAAAAGCTCCTTGAAAGCTTGGTTTTTATTCATTTGGTTAAAAGATCCATAAAAGAAAAAGTTGAAATAATGAAACTCTTAGCAGGGCTTTAAATTCTAACGATATTAGCAGAACTAAATGTTTTGCTCGTCATATTTTACATTCATGCAAAATATGAACAATTTTTTAGAATATTAGTACATGTAATATTAAGAACTTTTGGGGGACAAATATATTTATTTGAATTCTAATAATGTTAAATCAAAATAGGTTGTCTTAAAGTCTAAATTCATACAAAAGCAATGATTTTGTAAGTGAAAAGTGGATGACATAGCATTTTTGTTCGGAAGGAAAATGCTGTTGCTTGATTTCAAAATACTTCAATGTGCTGGTTTATTGAAGATCTTTAAAGTAAGCGTCTATAACTCGCCATGTATAATCGCATCATTTGGAAATTTCATGCTCCCTCTTAGATTAGGGAGGGAAAAAAACTGTTACATTATATAAGTAAAATGAAATAATTTATGTAAGTTGTTTTCTTATGTATATTTTTTTATTAAATTTAAACTCAGATTTAAGAAGCGTCTGGATTTAACAGGCATTTTTCTGTTTCCCAAGCCGCTCCTTAAATACGTGTCTCATTTTACTTTCTTTGTAAATTGATAGAGAATTGATACTGTTCTAATTTAGTTTATTGTGTTTTTCTGATGGAAACATTTACACAATATATAAAATAAACCTTAAGTTTAAATATTGCATATTATTTCTTGTGTGCCTTGTTAACAAAGCAATATCTTATAGCATTAGATGGTTATATTTTCAGGCAAAAATTTGTGAAGATGTTTGGTATAACTGTTACATTTATTGCAACAAGAAGTGGACTTTTAAGATTTGTAGATCTCCGATCTTCAGCTGATAAATACAATTCAACTGAAAAGTAAGTTTGTTTTAAATAATAGCTAATTTTCTTCAGTTTTAAATCATTAAATGTTTGATTCCTGAAATAATGTAAAAAAAATAAAGCAGAAATTTTTGCTTTTCTTTGTTTTTATATCTTTTTTACTGGCAACACAAATTTCCTATCTTTTTAATATCACAGAGAATATTTCTTTTTATAAAGCAATTGGTATTGTAAACAGGCATATTTACAACTAGGTAAAAAAGCTTCAAAATTTAACTTTACAAATGCTCTAAAAACTAAATTATTTGCTACATTGATATTTAATTTGCATTTGACATATTAATTAAATATGAGCTACATTTTTTTAACAGAAGGATTTTAAAATGTCAGTGCATTATTGTTTGAATAGAGTGAGGAATTAAAGATTCATCATTCAATAAATTGTTGTGACTTTCAATATTAACTCCTCTTTGGTGTAAAGTTAATTATAAAACGTAAAGCACTTTTCTGAAATCTATTAAAGATAGGTTTATCTTAGTAAAGGATTGAGTCAGTGATGATATGGTCATTAACACTGATGTATTCAATCTTCTACAACATCTCCATTCCTTTATTATTTTTTCACTACTATTTTTATATTTTTCCTTATTTATGACCACCCTCAGTGTCAACTGTGTGGTTCTAGAGCACCAATGAATAGAGAGCACCTCCATTGCTGCAGGAGGCTCCACGGACTTGAATCGGAGACCGTAAGATATTGGTGTGCGAGAGAGCTTTTGGAGAGATGACTTTGGTCTTTTGTTATTTTCTTTTTTTATTGTTCCTCTGTGTTATTGTTTGTATTCCCTGCCATTGGAAATAAAAAAAATTGTATTTTTCCTTTTTTTTTTGCCACTTTTAAATTTGAATCAAAATTAATTTGGTCCATTGGTGAACTTTTGACTCTTAGAAAATATAAATTGATCTCTAAATTGAACAAACTCTAGGCAAATATTTCAATTTTTTCTTAATGTCTTCTTCTTTTTAAAAAAAATATGGAAAAAAATATATTTTATAAAAATGTTGTTTCTATAGTTCACAATTACAGTATGCTCTAAAATAATGAAAAATGTACTTTTCTTGATATTGTGTGTAAACAATTCAAGCTAGAGCTGTGAAAAATATTGTAGAATAACCCGAAAAATTGTAGCAGCTTGTCAATCACCATGTAGTAGTTTGTAAATAGCATGCATTCAGTGAAACTAACCCAGAGTTAGAGCTAGCTCAAGTGTTGCCAATTTAGATAAAGAAATATTCACAATTTCGCTGCCCCCTAAAACAAAAATATATAATAAAGTGAAACAATTCGTGATATTTAATATTAATCTATCAGTTAAAAATATTTTTACAATTTATTTTATAACGTTATATTGTTAAAATGTTTCTTAAGTTATGTGTTATTTTTATACATTCACCATATAGTGATCTGACGTTATAACATTTGTATTTATATGGACTGTAGAAGAGATCGCTTTACTTATCCTCAACTGTATGAAACTAACCATTTTTCTCATATCAGTTAAAAATTATGTTTCAAATTTATCAATGTATTATTTGATTTTAAGGTCTTCATCTAAACCATAATTCTTCCATTTTCATTTTAACTTTATTATTATTTCTCTAGGCCAATATTTGAAACTCATACAAAAGCAACTGAAGAAGAATACTACAAACGAGCAGTAGATTTCCATAACATCAATAGTTCAGCATTCGTCTTTTCAGTACCTTATGATGCTGGTATAGATTACTAATTTTAAATAACACCTCTTGTGGCTCTGTTGTGAATTAATTGTGTTTTTACTTTTATTTTTCTATTGGCATTGATAAAAAAAAAATAAGTGATAAATTCTTGACAGGTAACAAGAAAGGTAGTTTAGTCACTGGAAGCCATGCCATATTTCTTGGAAGTGGGAAAAAAAGAGCCCCAGCTGCTGTTGTAGGATTGCAGTTTCACCATTCAACTTTTGCTGATCAATTTTTTGATCATACCTCTAAAGCAAGTTTCTATTTTTTCTCCTTATAAATGAAATCAAAGCTCATAATTTACAAATAATAGTCAAGTAATTAGACTAGAACGTTCTTAAAAACAATATTTAAGTTTGGAAAAGCATTAAATCAAATTCTAGTTAAATTGCAGAATATAAATTTATAAGTTTCCTGAATTGTGGTTTAGAATGGAATATAAACTATACATATTATTTACAAATAATTATTTTCTATACTTTTAAGAAAATGTTCTTAAAAGTAATTTTCACAATTAAGAGCTTAAAAAAATTGTTTGCAAACTTAGATACAAATGAAAAACTTTCTGCACATATTGATTACCTCTTGTAACTAATTTCAACCATTTTGTCATCACCTTATTTTGGCAAAATTTGTTTGAAAATCACATTTTTTTTTTTAATTTTTGTAGAACTCTATATTGATTTATACCACAGGGATAAGTTGATTACAAGGATAATGCAAAAATGTTATGTGCAAAAGCAGTAATACTTTGTAAATAATTGATAAAAATACATGCATTTTGAGCGAGAAAAGAAGTGTATGTCAGAAGGATTTTTCCACAGAATGTTATCAACGTTTTAATAGAAAAAATATCAATGCTATTTAAACTGTGTGAATATGAATCTCAATTTATAATTTTTAAATTATGCGAATACGAATATCTGCATTTTATTTTAAAATCATGTGGACACAAATCTCAATATTGGATTTTAAAATCTCGTTAATATGAATCTTGATGATTAATTTTAAAATCGCGTGAATACGAATTCTGATGTATAATTTTTAAGTCAATCAAACACGAATCATAATAGTGGCTTTTAAATCACACTGAATACAAAACACTATGCAAGATCTTAAATCACATAAATAGGAATTGCGATGTGTGATTTTTAATCGTGTTTGCATTGATTAGAAAAAGGGTAAACATGAATCGTTTTTTTCTTGGGAATTCATCTCTTTTTACCAGAATTTTTCTCTTTTTCTGTAATAGTAAAAAACATTTGTGATGATTTTCCACGATCGGCATTTGTGTATATTATACGGGTCTAGATGTGCATATGATACCTCACAACCATGGCCAAGCATCTAGCTTTATTTTTTAGGACTCTATCTTTTAACAGCCATGGCAGGAATGACACTTAATTTTGAACAGAATTTGAGATGACATGGACAACGCTTGTGCTGGCCCTCCGTTCTCCATACTTCCACACCACAACCAATGAGAGGACTTTCAACAATGACAGATTTAAAGTGTACCTTGCTTTGAATACACACAATTTTGTCGACTGCCAGGATCAAACTCGTGACCCCCAACTTTCCACTAGCAGTGTTAGTGACAATGCCTTAACCAAATGCGCCACCGGAATGCTTTGTGAATAGTATCATTATGTACCATCATTTCTTCTTGAAGTAGCCCTTTAAAAAGAGTACCTTTTTCAGTAAATACATGATCTATGACCCTTGAGCTATCATGAAAAATATATGCTTTAATCGAAGCTGGAGCTCAAATATTTTATGAAATAAAAATTGGTGCATTTAATTTTAAAGCTTAATATTAATTTTTTTTTACAAAATATTTTAAAATCTACATATTTCAGACTGTTTGGCATCACTGTAAAACTTTAAGCATCACATCTTCACTTTCTTAAGCATCTTGCCTAATATAAAATTCCAGCAATATCCCTCCATTGTGTGTGAAAGAGAAATAAGCAGTTGTAACCAAAAAATTAAGATAAGTATTTTCATTTGTAAAGTATTCCTACTAGTGCTACTTTTATTCCTATTCACACAAAAAATTTTCAAGAATAAAATTTTTTTTGATGTGTAAAATGCATTACATCGGGGAATAATTCAAAATTCAGGCTAGGCATATGACATTTAGTTTTTAAGCTATTGTTTTTTTTTTGTGCTTACTTTATTAAAAATACTCTCTTTCCTTATTTAGTGTATGCAACAGTGCAGGTATAGATGCAAAGATGAGGTAAATAAAATTATTTTAAAACTTTTTATATTTTCCTACAAGTGTGTGTAAACATTTGTACAATTTTAAAAAAATTTTTACAGGAATTGGATTGTTTTCTCTTGGATAACAATGGTTTTATAATAGTTTCAGAAAAACATGAGCATGTAAGTTTTGTTTTATTTATTTCATGATGAATTTATTTTAAGAGATTTTAGTAAATGTTTTTTCAAGTTTCAGTGGTGCATTTTTCCCACTCAAGTTGCAAAAATGTACATAATTCTCCTACCACTAATAAGATGCTGCAATCACTACCATTGAAATCCTATCTTCTAACCTTGTTATTGGTTACTTGGTTCAGAAAAAAAGCCAGATGTCTTTTAATTTAATTACTGAGACAATCTTACTTTTATGATATTTGAGCCCAAAACTTGTATATTTATAAGACAATGACTACTGGAGTATATTTTATATGAAATAGCTTAATTTTCAATGCACATATAATATATTTGAAGTGAAAAAAAAATATTACACGAAAGCAAACACTTTTTCATGCCATAACCCTTTTTCATATGATAGAAAATATCAAATTTGTGCTTTGTAAGTTATTTTTGTATACATTATTAATTGTAAGTAACTCCTTACTAGTTGTAAATGATAGTCTAAATCAAAGAAAAATTTAAAACTTTAAACTTTCAATTTTTTCAGGATAACATTATTCACTAATCAAAAATTATTAGAATTCAAATGCCTCCTTATTTTTAATTTTACAGACTGGAAAATTCTTTGGAGAAATTGATTATACGCTGTTTGATTCTATGATAGAAATAGGAATTTATAAAAGGTATGCTTAAGTGTATTTTATTTAACACAAAGAAGTGCGCTATTTTTTTCGTAGTTAAGCATTTTATTTTCTTCACTCTTTCAGGGTGCATGCCTATGATTATCAAGCAATTTGTCTTGAAAATGATCCATTTTATGGATTTGCTCCCTTTCTTATAACGGTACAGTATCTTTTTATACACTTTCTTTTACCTTTTTTGTATTGTGTAATAAATGTTGTTTAAACAGTTTTATAGATGTTTTCAAAATGTTTACATTTGTTTCCAATTAGTTATATGCAGAATATGTATTGAGATCATAATAATATAGCTAAACATACATCTTATAAATTGCAACTGCGTCTTTTTAGACTTTTAAAAATAAATTAATATTACAGAATTAAGCAAGCAAATTAACATTACTTTTTAGCAAATCAAAAAAGCTTCCTAATTTTCTGAGATCATTAGATCAACACTGATATTTAACATAGCTTTAATTTAATTTTTTACAGATTTCTTTTTCAGTAAAATGTAAATTGGTCTAAATTTAGTTGTTTTAAACACTTTATAATACTGATACTGATTACTTCTGCCTTTCCTCAAATTAAATAACAATTTTTATCAAGAGTAGAGGCACCTACAGTTGAATTGCTATTAGCGACCTACTCCAATAATCCAAAGTCACCAATTTTTTGCCCTATCAAATCCTGTTAAAGAGACCAAACGACGATCTGTATGAAAATTTCTTTGCCTTTTTCCTAGCATTAAAGTAACCTATCTGCAAGTTGGAAGCAAAATTGATGAAATATTATGCTGCTGAGAATTTTACATTTGGTGTAAATTTTAGGCAGGTAAATTGTAAGAAATACAAATTAGTATATTAGATTCAGTTGTAATTCTTCTAGGCTTTAAATGTGAGTTACAGTTTTACATATAATTTACAGATGAGAAACCATCTCACTTTAATGCTATTTTTTCATTGAATGGATTGTATTTACTTGTGGGAAATTTCTCTATATTTTATTAATTAATAATTTAATTTGCTCCTCTCTCCTTCAACATTTTTCCTCTTTTGATTGTGTGTTTTTGTCGAGTAGTTCTATTAATGACTCTGAATGCACAATAAGATTATATTTTATGATCAAAGAATGTATTTTCATTAAGTTGAGCAAATTCAAAATCATTTCGATTATTTTTTGAATTAACTACATCTCATCATGCAGAATGTGAATTAATAGTATAATAAAATTACTGATCAAGGAAATTCCTCCAATCTTTCATGCAGGATGTTAAAGTATAAATGCTAAATGAATTTATTTATTTTTTAAAAAATTATTTTCTGTTTTTTTAGCCATTCCATCATATGAGAAATCTTCTAAACTGGATTTGGGGCAAGCTTGCTTTGTAAGTCATTAATCTCCTTCCTTATAACTTAAGATTTTTAGACAATGATAGTCATTTACACAATTTTTTTTTATTCAAGTTTTAAGTAAAACAAATGAAGAAAAATGTAATTTTGAATTTTTTGCATTTTTTTTTTTACTTGATCTTTGTATGTAGTATCTTTAATCTGGTATTTACATTAAATTTCATTTAAGTTGCGTTATTTAGTTTTGCGTTTAACTTGTGGTGTTTTGGTTTCAGTTTGTATATTCAATTCAGTCTTTATGAATGGNAGATTTCCTGCTATGTTTTAAAAAACTTTATTTGTGAAAACCTTCAACGTGGCGGACAGCTGGCCGCCTTAGGCGGCTAGTAGTATAATAAAATTACTGATCAAGGAAATTCATCCGATCTTTCATGCTGGATGTTAAAGTATAAATGCTAAATTTATTTATTTATTTTATAAAAAATTATTTCCTGTTTTTTTAGCCATTCCATCACATGAGAAATCTTCTAAACTGGATTTGGGGCAAGCTTGCATTGTAAGTCTTTAATCTCCTTCCTTATAACTTCTTAAGATTTTTAGACAATGATAGTCATTTACATATTTTTTTATTCAAGTAAAACAAATAAGTAAAATGTAATTTTGAATTTTTTGCATTTTTTTTGCTTGATCTTTGTATGTAGCAAATATCTTTACTCTGGTATTTACATTAAATTTTGCTTAAGTTACTTTATTTAGTTTTGTGTTTAACTTGTGGTATTTTGGTTTCAGTTTGTATATTCAATTCAGTCTTTATGAATGGTGGTCCAAAGATTGGGTTTTAGCATCATCAAGTGGTAAATATTTGTAGTTTTTTTTTTTTACCTTCAGTTATTGTTTGTTAAATGTATTAATAACATAATACTGATCATACATTTTAACGACAGAATACGATTACACTGAAAAAGATGATGTGCCAAACAAAACAGTTCCTAGTCCCTGTGAGAAAGAGATAGATCTCTTTGAAATGTTACCAAGAGATTTTGTTGAGCCAGTGAAAGGCAGACTTTCAATGTGCCATTCTTCAGGCTGTGATAAGTAAGATTTGTACTTTTTTCTTCTTTTTTCTAAGCCTGATTTTGAGTCTAGGATTGTGGAATATTGTAATCAGTTACAACCCCTTTCGAACTAGTTATAATGTGCAAAAACTGATTGCAATGCAGATTTCGATAATTTCCTGATCGTCACAAGCAGAATTTAAATTGTCATTTTTATCACCAAACGTTATTGACAACATGATTGAAATTTTTACATATAATCCTCAATCAAAATTTCTATCACTTTCTGACTCATTTCAGAGAAATTTAAACTGCCACGTGTCCGACGCCAATACTAGTTTCCTGAATGTTGCAAATAAAATGCATTGTTTTTCTTATCACCAATGGAAAATTAGAGCACATTCAGATATCAACAGACTCAAAACTAAGTGTCAAGAAAATAATAAAATTAATTCAAAATATTTTAAGAATAACATTTTTCCAGTGGACTAAAAGAGAAAAAAAATTTGTCTGACTTAAAGCAAAACACTTCTATAAACATTGAAAATTGCTCCCATGTCTTTAGAAAGTGATATGCCCAACATTTTTCATTTTTAGTCTGACAAAATAAAATTTTATTTGAAAACACAGTTTTAAAAAAAAATTTCGATTGTTTGAATACAAAAACTATTAATACTTCATCTGAAATGTAGATCCAAATTAATTTTTTTTCCTCCTGACATTAGGTTTTATATTCAAAGCTCATCTTTTAAAGTTATTTGAATACATACAGGGGTCTGTCTAGGTTTTTCTGAGAGATACCTATTTTGTGAAAATTTAGACATAATTTGTGAAAAATTAAAAGTTATATTGAAAAATCAACACAAAAATATGGATTTATCGTTTCTTAAGGGATACAAAAATAAAATTTTAAGAAAAAGTATTTTGTGAAACTATCGTTTTTCGAAAACTTGAATTTGTAAAACTACCGTTTCTCCTAAAGTTGAATTTGTGAAGGTACCGCTAAACGATAGTAAATTAGGCCTGGGCAAACCCCTGACATAGTTTATTTTTTTCACCCGTGCGATTAGTAGAGATTTTCTCACAAATAATGAAAAGAATTGGGGATCAAAGGTGAATCAGAAGTCGTCACGGAGAAATCTTCAGAGGAAGGCATTGACTCACATTGGGCTGTCTGGCTATGATGATGATGAGTTTATTTTTTGAATACAAAAACTATTAATACTTCACTTGAAATATACATCCAAGTTGTTGTTTTTTTCCTTATTACATTAGGTTCTTTATTTATGACTTTATATAATTTTTTTTTTTTTGGTCTTTTAAAGTTATTTGGATACATTGTTTATTTCTTGAATACAAAATGACTGGTTTCGATTTCTGACCCCTAAAATACAAGATGTTGTAATCTGGGAAATATGGTTGTCAGGAGAGTGCTCCAAAGTTTAGACCCTTTAATGTCAATCTTACTTTTTGTGTAACTCACTATATAACGAGAACTTCTGAAGTGAATTGAACAATTTTTGCACACAATTATGCAATTTGTTTATCCAAAGATCATTCCATGCAAAAAAAATTACTTTAAGTAAATATTTATTATTTATCCTATTTTATTTAATAATGGTAAGAAAAATTTTGAATTGTAAAGTATACAATTTTTTGCATCTTTTTAAAGAATATAATTTTATATAGCAAAATTCAAAATAGATGGAAAAGCTCCTGAGAAATTTAATTTTAAAAAAATCAGATATTTAAAATTCGATTTCTCAGGAACTATTCGATCGATTTTGCTCAAACTTTGTATTTTGCCAATAAAATTATATTCTTTAAAATGAAAAGTTGTTTTTTGCATGGAATTATCTTTAAATGCATGAATTTTATAATTTTGTGCAAAAAATTTAAATTCACTTAAAAAGTTCTTGAGATGTAGCGAAAACCTCACAAAGTAAAATTAACATTAAGGGGTCCAAACTTTGGAGTGGTCTCCTGACCAAACTATCGGGATCATATTTTCCAGATTGCGACTACCCTCTAATGTTTTGGGGGTCAGAAATCCAAATCCATTGTGAAAAATGTATGTTTAATCATAGAAAGTACGTTTTTGTGTCTAAAATTGTAGCTTTAAATATTAATTAGCACTTATCAATTAGCATATTTGAAGTCACTCTCTCGAAACATTAAGATTGAGTTCTAGAACGTAAAGTTCCGATCATTAGATCAAAAGGTATTTAGGGTGGCCCGTTTTTTTTTCCTCACTGGGCAACCAAATTTATTTTTTTCATCCTTACATTAGGTTCTTGATTTAAAACTTATTCTATTGTTTTTTAGAATTGTAAAATAACACTTTTTAATGATATTTATTACGTATGCATTCATTCAAAATAAAACTGAGCTCTGAACTGACTGTTGCTAAACTCTCAAGATTTTTTTTACTTACATACAATGAATAGATTTTTTAACTGTTTTAAAACAGGAGGTAGTTTTTTCCACTATAATATTTTACATCCAGAAGAATCAGAAATGCTTTTTAGATGTAACACTTTAAAGGAAACTGATTCAATAATTCGTTTTTTTTTTCTATTTATAGCTAATCACATTTTCTTATCTGATTTGTTTTTTATTTTTTTGTGCATGTTTTTTATAAAAAAAAAATATACATATACTCTTATCATCCGTTACAAATCCCCTTCCCAAATGTCCTGGAAAATGCTGCATATTTTAAAAATGAACATAGAATTTTGGATAATTCTATTTTACTAGTCTCACCAAACTCGGCATAATGGACAGATTTGTTTTGACAGAAGTTAAGTGAAACTTATTTTAATATATACTGGTCTATCGAAAAATGAATTTTGAAAGCACTTTAAATGTAATTCATCTCAAAAAAAGACTTTTTTTTTTTACTTAGAAACTGCTATATTTTTGTATTATAATTGATTGAATTATTGATTAAGCTTAAAGAGTGAACTTGATTTTGTAGTTAAAATTACTTTAGAGTTAACTGACATAAATATCTTTTTTTTTAACAAAGAAAGATTTATAATCTAATACAATTCAAAACTTTTAATTCCTTAGAAACTTGGTGGAACAAGGTTATATTTTTTCAATCGATGCAATTTTTTTAAAAAAAATAACTGGCTTTGCTTTGTTTACATTCATTGCTTTATTTCATTATTGTCTGAAAACGTTCAGTCAATAAGAAAATACCAAGTAACTAAAGAGAAACAGTGATTGCATGTTAAAGACTAGATAATTTCAAAGAAATTATCGAAATCAATTTTTTCCCCATTACTTTAAAGAAGTTGTAGTTTTCCTTTGTTTGCGATATTTTTCTTCCAAGCTTTATGTAACACAAAAAATGCAATAAAGTACGTCAAAAATAAATCTTGCTTAAAAAATTAAAATAGTTTAGAAAGAACATTTGGTTCAAATTTGTACCTTTTTAAATACTAAAAGTGACCCTTTAATTTTTATGATGTTCATGCAAAAATGTATCTTCTAAGTTCCTTTATTTGTTAACTTTGGAGAGAAAAAATTTACTGAGAAACAACCCTGTTGTTGGATTGTTAAGATTTAATAGATTAAAACTAACATTCATGCATATGTTTAGATTTTAGCTTTTCTGAAATGAAATGTAATGAAAGCTGTATGCTTGTATAATGATGATTACTTGTAGGGCTATAATTTAATAATCCACTTAGGCTTGTAATCAACTTAAATATTTTATTAACTTACAAAAGGGATCAACTTGCCTGATTTAATAAGTGTTGAAGATCCGTATAGATATGAAAACAATTTTTTTTAAGCAACCACAGTATTGTAGTGTTTTTATTATTATGTTAGAATTTTTTAACGTCATTCTGTATTGAAAATTAATTATTGAGCATCAAGTATGCTCACCATTATGATTTTGAATTACTCATTCTTATGTTTAAACATATTTATATAGGCAATTTATAGTTCAACAAGTACCTTACACCAATCTTGTTATGCTTGTCGTTTACACTACTTGTCCTTGTGAAACTACTTCATTAAAGTTAGAGCCAAAAGAAGTTCATCAAAATGAGACGTTAAGATGCTTAAGAATGAAGCAAAACATTTATAGACGTCGTCCAAATGTCTGTCTTAATTATCACCCAGAGGTAAGTAAGCATTACTGCATTATTGTTTTGTGAAATAACTGTTTTATTATTGACTTTCATTAAAAAGTTTTTATTTATTATTAAATATTTTAACTTGATTTTAAATATTTTTCTTTATTAAGAATATTCTTTGTTTGTTCTAGAATATTTGTAACTTTTGTGGGTTAAATTCAATATGAGCTACAAATTCAATATGAATTTACTTTCATGTATTTATCATTTCATATATTTGCTCAGTAGATAGTAAATTTTACCGTTAAAAAAATTTACACTAAATGTAGAGGATGGAGTATTTTATTACTGTATAACCTTGGAAGTCCTTTTTGTAAAATCCAAGTACGATAAATTTTTTAACTACAGACGCGGTAAAAAATAAGCAAAATTGTTTCAACTTTTTTTTTAAATTGAAAGACATATTTTTAAAATTGAGTTATGATACTATATTGAAAAAAAAAATATTAAAAACTATGTGGAAATTTGTAGCAATAACTGTTGAAAAAGCCTTCAACAAAACTCATAGTTTTAAAGGGAAATCACATTAAATGTGCATGTCAAAAAGTAAGCAAAAGAGGTCTGATTGATTTGGATTTCATCTAGAAAGCATCTAAACACAACTTTTTTATAACTTTTCCAAAACTTATCTTAGAATTCATAATTGTTATTTAAGTTTAACATAAGGCAGAGATTTTTTAAATGTAAGCATTTCTTTGAAAAAATTCACCCTCTATTTCTTGAGCCTATAATATTTGTGGGCAAGAGTGTTCAAAAGTACAGTGCAAAAAAAGATTAAATTTATTTATTTATTATCAATCATGTTTATTTCTCAATCTATACACCAGGTGGCATAGCTGTTCTATTTGTAATGTAGTTAGAGATAGTTTATTTTATCCTAAAAGTCAGCACTGATCGTTATTTCAAACTAAAAATTAAGCAGAAGATTAAGAGTGAATACATATTTTGTACTTAAACCTAGTTTGGGCTCTAATTTTTTAAGCCTAATTTTTTTTTTTTAAGTAGATACTTTTATGACAATTTTCTTCTAAATTATGCTATCATTAATGGTTTAAAGACAAAAGTTTGAATAAATAACTTTACAAAGTACTTGAGTTAGCAGATGATTCCAGTTAAAATATGTGTCTTATTTTCTGTTTTCCGTTTGTGGGCTTCAGTATTTTTGCTGTAAATTTGTAAATGTTTTTTCAATATTATCTTATACTTAGTGTCAATTTACTCAGAATAAAACAGGTCCTTACACATAATTTTCTCAACAAAAAAAAATTGTTAGGAAAACACTTTAGACCCCTTAAATATGTTATTCAAAAGCAGAGTGTCATAATACTGACATTTTAAAACCATATAGATATCAGCAAATAATTTAAGAAAGAGATGAATAGGAATTGGAATGTGTACAAAAAGTTGCTTTAATGTTTAATCAAATGCTTGTGTTGTAATATTAAAAATATTGAGTTTTAAAAACCATATGGAAACCTGTGACAATAACTATTGTAAAAAATTATGTGAATTTAAAACAAAATCAAACATGTCTGAAAGTGATTAATTGTGCAATCCAAAATTTGCATGTTGTAGTAATTTCATATTGCAAATACCAGAATTTTAAAAGCGCTGTTTAAATCCCTTTAATAACTGCTAAAAATGATAAAAACCATGACAATTCAGGACATCAGGCTTTTAACTTGGAAATCCCTAATGGTTTAAGATTGATGTTTAAAATATGAACCTCAAAACTCCCTATTTTTTTCAGATTTTTGAATACCAATTGTATTTTTATTACTTTATATGACTTTTTTCTTTAAATTCATCTAAGCATGTTAAAAGTAATGCATTAAATTGTGTTGATTTAGCTACTTTAATACTAACTTTATAATTTTTAACAAAATTAAATAATTTGTTGATGAATAGAATTAAATTATTATTAATGGTATACAACTTTAGGTTTCAAACAATATTTATTTGTGATTTTGCAATGATTAAAAATAGTACAGTACAGAACCTGTTATCCGGAATACAGAAAACCAAGAAACCGGAACGAAATTCGATAAATTTTCCCGCCATTTTCAACAAAAAAAATTTCCTCATGAGATTTTAGGATTTTTCTTTCTATTTTGAAAGTTGTTTACCTTGCCATCATTTTGGAAATAATCATTAGTGTATTACTTCATCGTTTTTTCTTCTTTTTAAGATTATTTCCAATTTTTTATTTATTTGTTTATTTTTTTTTTTTTTTAGTTAGGTTTATCAATTAAAAAAAACGGCTTTTTGTAGCGATTCAGAAAACCAGAAAAATCAGTTATCCGAAATAGCGATGGTCCCGATCGGTACGGATAATCAGTTCCCTACTGTAATACTGTCTATGTTTAAATGACATTTATAATTCTGTCCTGCTTTTAGTATGTGTTTATGAGTTTAAATAGCTTATTTATTACTGTATAGTCATTAAGATTAAGATCTTTTTTTTTCTCTTTTTCTAGGAGGCAGATTTAAATCACGAATGTGGTGGATCTAGCCATACCAAAGCTCATAGTATTTCTAACCTAATAATAGGACTGACAACTCTTTATTATATTGTGCAGCATTTTCATGTCTGAACAGAATTAATTTCTGTGTCCTTGCCTTGTAATGAAGGAGGCTTATCCAAATGGTACTACCTGTCTTGCTGATACAGACATTGTTGTTTGATTGTTGCATATTCTGTGTCTGTGCCAACTAGCCTGGGCGTACAGTACTGAAGGACAAACTATCTGTAAAGATTTCATGAAGGTCCATGTGTGATATAACAAAAGTCTTTAACTCTTAAGGGCATTATCACAGATTTTTAAAGCAGGTTTAAATTTTATTGGCTTCTATATTACTATGTGAAAGTTATTAATTGCATATCATGTACACAAATTGAGTGCATTGTTAAAGTAACTTTTTATTGTATTGGACATATCAATAAAAGTAAAAAAAGAAAATTTTCACAATTTTTAAAAAAAAATTCACTTGAAAATAATTGTTTTCCTTGATGTTTTAAAATATATCTATTTAGATTCTAAATCAGGTTATGCAGACAATAAACTTGTTATGTTTTTTAATAAAATAATTACATATCATTCAAAATTCCTGTCTTGCAATTATCGTTGCATTAAATATAGGAAAATAAATAGTCGCATATCAATCAAAAACTATTTTCTGTTAATATTATTTCAAGTATATTATTAAAAAGGATTCATATCACTCTAAATATATATTTTGTGCTGCATTGCATGTAATGGTAAGAAGTAATAATAAATAATTATAATTTTATTATTGTAATTGCCAAACACTATTTTTAATTACTTTTTTTAATTGTACTAAGAAAAATCAAACCATATCCTAGTGTTTAATTTTTTTATTAAACATTTTTTATATAATTTTTGAGGAAATAATTTTTAATTTTTATCTGGATATTATAACTGTATTTTTCAAGTTTTTTAATTAATTTGATTAATTATAACTTACAACCAAAGTATGTTGAAATAGAAAAAATTTAATTTTATATATTATATTTGCTAATAAAATTTTTTATAATATTAAAGAAATGTTCTTATTTATTTATATGTATTTTTAATAAGCATGTTGCAAAAAAATATTTATTTAATATATTAAAATTAATTTTACCTCAACAATCTATTATACTTATTACTGAAATTTAATTCACTTCATTCATTGCCAAAGTCTCATTTTATTTGTTGACTTATTAAAAATTAATTTACATTTTGAAATCCTCTTTCTTGTAATACTATAAAATAAGAGAGTTACTCAATAACTGTACTCTTTGAATAATAATGTTAATTATAATGCAGTCAAGCTTCAATAATTTGTCCCTCTCTTTCATGAACAGAAAACACTTTCCTTCATGTTTGCCATCGTTTATTTTTTTTTAAACCTTATTTAGGCATATTTTTTCAGATTTCTTCTCAATAAAGGCATTGTTCAAAAAGTTAAAAATGAAGTAGTGCTATCAACTGTGAATTATTAAATCCTGTCTTAATTTGTCTGAAGAATTATCTAAAACTCTTCCTTTTTGAATCTGTTAATGACCTAATAACATATAATCCAATGTTGTATTTTGCATTTTCAAGGTGCATATCATTTAAACTAAGTTATCTTTAACCCAGTTACCTTAACATGTAATGTTTGAACAATATGCCTACATTGTTATCGCAATGCGATTGTAAAATTCAATTCGAATGTATATTATATTCTCTGTAATATCAACATTTATGTTGAATATCTGGTTATTTTATCTGCTTTAAATTATCTGTGATAAATGAAGAGATTAAAAAATGGTGCATATATGAAATGGAGAATTATAAACTATGGTGCAAGATCTCAATATATATAAATATATATATATATCAATTTTGTATGCTCATAAGCTTGTACCAATGTTTAAAGAATGAATGATTTTGTATTATATTATAACTACTCTTGCCCTCCAAGCTATTTCCAGAATGAAAAGTAAGAGTGTTCATAATTTTAAGTATGTGCTGCCATAATTGTTTTGCGTTTTCATGTTCTCAGAAGTTTAGGGTAATCTTATAGGAGAAATAGTACATTTTTTTATTGCATAAGTAAACCAAAAATGTATTAATTTCTAAAACTCTTATTTTGCAATATTTTTATTACTGAGTAAAAAAAAAATCTATTTACCCATTTCAATGTGTGTGCTCTTTAAAAAAATTTAAGTGTCAAAAGAGTTTTATTACATTAAAATTCAGGTATGCATTTACTTAATATATTAATTTTTTTTTAAATATCAACTAAACTTATTAGTTTTAGGATAATTGTTGAAAATTAAAAACTTTATATTAGCTTCAATTAAATTTTACTTTGAAATTTTAAAACTCTAATAAAATGTTTATCTAAGCATTCAAATTTTAGTTTAAAGAATGTAAACATTTCTTATGAACATATCTGTTAAAAATAATTAATATCATATACAATTTTTATAATTCTAAGAGGAAATCTTAAAATATATAAATGAATAAAATTAATGCATATCTTATATTACATTCTAAACATAACAGCTCTAATTTTAATATGATTGAATTAATAATCAAGCATTTGTACTGTTATGAGATTTTGGTTTGTAAGATAAAAACTACGTAGGATTTAATGTTGCTTTAATTTTTTCAAAACTTCAAGTGATAATAGTTTAAAATTATTCTACATACTTAGATATATTTCCTTTTAAATATACTTATTTAAAAGACCAAGACTAACCTTTTCCTAATCTAACAAAAGTAACTAATAATAGAACAGATTGCTTTCAAATATATAACAGTGTTTTTATTAACCCTCTAGCCCTTTCTCAAATGGCAAATTTGTGAAAATGTATTATGTGAAATATAAATGGTCATGTAATATAATAAATGTATGTTCATCTTATAAATTTGTCATTGAAATTTATAAAGGCATACTAATTTAAATGTTGTATTCACTAATATACTTGCTTCTTATTTATTATAAACTTATTTGTATTTCAATGAGCATATTTTCGTACATAATGATTAAAATTTATTCAAGTTTTTACTTATCAAGACATATTAGGTTGAAACATTACTTTGAATCAACATAATATTTAAGTTATTTTATTAAATAAGTATAAACCTTCCAAAAACTCATTTTAACTTGATCATTTTAATCTAATTTCATCATAATATGTAATTATTATCTATCTAAATATTTCAATTATTGAACAAACCCTCTAAAAAAGTGAGTGTTTTCTAAATTTAAAAAAATTATCAAATGAACACCAAACTTTATATGTTTTGATAAATATAATTGGTTTTAAAGCAATTTTTCAAAGGGAAAATTACATGGAATTTTCTTTATCTTAAATAATATATATATTTTTCCCCACTTAGATTAGAGGAATGTCTGGTATTTCAATATTTGTAAAATATAAATCTAAATGTATTATATATTTCCTCTACTTGAATCAAAATTCCCTCAAATTTTGAACATCTTATCAAACTTTCCTTAACTGTTGCGTCAAAAACTTATATTTTAATGTAAAAAGTGTGTTCTGAAAATTACTACATTCATAATCATTGCTAAAATTGGAAAAATTATTCTTAATTTCATTATTTTTTATAATGTCCTTGTTAATGTTAATTATATATATGCATACATATCTTATATATAGTTTAGTAAATATAGATATATTTGTAAGTTTGAAATTCATTTTCTGAAAAGAAAAAGCAATATACTAAATTTCAACAAACATAAACCCAGTTGGAAACTTGTATGGTAAATTAAATCTTGGTTGAAAACTGTTGAATTAGTGATTTTTTTTGCTCATTTATAGTGTATAAACATTTAACGTATATTTTGAAATTAAAAGATTTAATTAATGTTAGAAAATTAATTAAAAACAGGCATTAGTGTTTGTACAGTGAAAGAAATTTAATGTTGAATTTATATGTTTTTATGAAAACGTGCACAAGATTCCAAAACTTTCCCCACAAACTAAAATTAGTTAAGGGAAATATTTATAAACTTTGATGTATGCTTATGCACATTTTTTTAACAAAAAGAATTCAAATTCTGTCATCAGTCTTCCAGTAGTAATACTGAAATTTAGAATTTTTAATATCAAATCATTTATTGAAGGCGTATTTACTTTCAAACAATTCAATTTTCTGATGATCTAGACTATTTAATAGACCCAAAAACTACAAATTTAATGTGATTTTGATAGAAATTAAAAAGTTTTTATACAACTACTATATATTATGGCTAATTATTATCATGCTATGAAGTTGAATAAAATTTAACATCACTGTAAGCTAATACATAACAAAATGCACAATTTTTGTATTAACACATATCATAAATTATGTCATCATCGTATTCTTTGTTTTTTCTTTTAACATCCAAAGTTGCAAGCAGTTTAGTTGCTTAACAGTAGATGTGTCACTTCTGGTTTGATCTTATCTCTTTCTGTTTTATTTTCAGAAATGTTGTATTTTTGATTTAGAATCAGTGTACTGCTATAAACTTAATTTTAATACGGAAGAGTTTATTATTTATAGTTATTTTAATAATTGTTTTCTAACTTGATTCTGTTAGTGATACCTGCGGTGTGCAGAGGTGTAAAGGCTCCTGAAACAAACTTTTTATTAAATTTCTCTGAAATGTGGTTTGAATCCTGAAAGACAGGACAAAAGAAAAATGCTTTTTAATTTTAAAAATATATATATCACTTGAGAGCAGGGCTCGAAAAACCGCCCGTCCTCGGCGGTCAAAAATTCCCCGCGGACGACGAATTTCTCGAATCTGACGTCCGCGAGTTCCCGTTAATGTTCGCGATACATTTTCAATTTTTGTTATCTTACAAGAGTCTAGCGCCTCACTTCTAAAATGACCCTAATCTAGAAATACAGCAACTGCGTATGATGGAATTGATGTTTCCTCTGTCTGGGAGTACTGTAGCGGTTGAAAGGGGCCTTTCCAGCAATGAACTTACAAAAAAAAACACATTACGTACTGGTCTTAACCAATAAGCGTTAAACGCAATTATAAACATCTACCTAAATGCAAAACCCCTTTCAGATTTCTGTGCAGAAGCCTCTGTAAATCATTGGCTTGATTGTGGAACTGGCAAACGTCATATTTGATTCATTTAAAAAACGCAGTACCCTCGGATAAATTGATCTTTGTCGTTTAAATTATTTCATTAAAAAAAATATTAGGTTACTATTAGTAACCTAGTATTTCTTTTAGTACTGTATATTGTAATTCTAGTATTTGTAATCCTAGTAACTACTAATTCATTGTGCAATTTATATAAATGTTTGCAATAAATAAGAGAAAATTAAATTTTTATTTATTTAGAAGCTACGGGTTAGTTTCAAAAAAGAACGGGTACATTGTTAGACAAGCCGTCCTCTGTGACGGGTAAAATTTCTGAGTTTTTTCGAGCCCTGCTTGAGAGTACTGAACCATATTAATTTATTTTCTTTTTTTACTATCATTTCCTGAATTATTTATAGATTGATTTCCAAATAAAGGCTTATAAAAGATGGAAGATATATGCTTAAGAAAATATAAATCCATAGCTTAAATTAATTTTTTACCTAATTATGCTATGCAACAATAAAAAAAATTCCTACAAAATAGTTTTAATTTTTATTCTTAAATATAAAGAATATATTAAATTGTATGAGTGACTTTTTTTTGTAATTTAGTTGTTTTAAACATAGGCAGAAAATAGGCATATGTCCTCTCAATAATTAGAAATACCTTCAAGTTCCTCCTCCCTCAATATCTCATTCAAAGATAGAGAATTTTCTTAACTCACCAGTCATTTAAATTTTAAATCCAGCTTAGTTAAAAACAAG